CTTTATCACATCTTTGGACAAGAAAAGTCATAGAGGTCTTCTAAGACAGATCTCAATGGGAACAATAATAGAAAGCACTCTATCACATATTTCGACAGGATCTGTAATAGATGCGTTTCTATTACAGGTTCCAGGTTAGTTAAAGGTTAATTGAGCAAAAGACACCACTTTGTAGGAGCTACGATCAAGCTCCTTACTGACAGGTGTGTTATGACTGCAATGCTTATAGATTCTTTTGTGGACTATGACTACAAGTGTGAGTATATTTAGCTTCGTATCATCTATGAGGGCACCAAGTAGTCTCAAGCAAACTCAGTGCTGGTTTCCCAATGCTTCTCTGTTTCTTCTCCTGTATCAACTCTAGACTGTTATTTCTGCAATACTCCTGAGATACTTCTTCAACTATGTCATGCTTCTTGTGTTTCTGAGTCACCTTGTGAATAAGCATGATCCGATGAATGCTATTCTCAGCAATTGGCAATTTGGCAATTGCCCTTTGCCCCAGCGAGTTGTGTGCTTTGGTGATTGGAGACTCTTGCACACTTTGGTGATTGGAACAGTTAGGGATTTTTCGTTGTATCTTCAACTAGGTTTCAGGCGCGAGACTGCTGACACATCGCTGGAAGTAGTCAAAGCAGTCTTGAACTTGACCCACTGGTTTGTGCCATGGATCAGCAGGACAACAATGATTCAGCTCATGAGTAGACCATTTGGCAAGAATTGTGTTCCTTTCAAGTTCTCCAAGTTCTGTTCCTGTGTTTCTGACTTGTTGTATGATTGCTCTCTGTAAAGCTAGCTCTCAATATGTATGACTAGCATACCCCATACCCAATCTTCCATGTAATCTCTTGAATGTAGATTGCTTCAATGTGATGAATTGTTCCACATACAAGATGCTGATTGGTGTAAGTGTGGAAGAATGATCTTGGTGGAGGAATGCTGCATGTAGCCCCAGTTCTGAGCATGTGTGTTGTGCAGAACTCAGCTGAGTTGTGTTTGTAGCTTTGGACTCTCTTTTGGACCACATCATCCTTGTTCAACTGAACTCATCAATCATCAATTTCCTATTTCTGGCCCTCTACTTCAACCATGGTGCACACCTAATGATGACCTTGAAGAGTCTGATGATGACATGTTTGATCATGCTGTCTCATTCATGCTCATCAGGACTTATGACATCATCAGCCAGTCTCAATACACAGTTGAATGCCATCAACTGCCACAATGAAGGGATCCCCTCATCAACATGCTTGATCAATATGCTGTCATCAACCACAAGCTCTTTTGAGGGGCTGTTCACATGACCCTAGATGCATTCCAAGCTCTCACTTACAGGCTCAGCACAACCAATGCCTTCAGATCAACATTAAGCTTTCAGCATGTTCAGCAGCAAGTGGCAGTTGGTCTATATCGGCTTAGACAGTCAGGAAATGGTGGTGGAGTTCATGATGTTGCATTTGCCTGCACTTGCAGTTGGGGCTTGGTTCACAAGTGGACAGATAGGACTATTGCAGGCCTATATGAGCTGAACAGCAAAGTAGTAACCTTTGCAACTGAAGACAAGTGTGCTAAGGCAAAAGCATGGGTTGCTGATAAGAGTGGAGTCAAGGAATGGTCTAGAAGATGGTTGGTGGTAGATGGTACACACATCAATCTTGCTTGGAAGCCAGCACTCAATGCTTGCAAGCATTACTCATACAAGGGTGATTATACATTCAACATTGCCCTTGTCTTCCTCCCTCATTCCTTGCACATTGTCAAGTCAGTGGTTGGACATCCTGGGTCATCACATGATGTGCAAGTCTGGGCTTCAGGCAGTGGTATTGTTGCCAAGCCTCATTCACATCTTGATGAAGGCAAGTTTGTCTGGGTTGATGCTAGTTATGGCTACTCCAGCTACACAGTTGGACCATACAGCAACACTGCAGTTGCAAAGAGCAGAGATTTCCACTACTTCAACTATTCACTCTCCCACATTTGTGTCAAGGCTGAACATGGCATTGCCTACCTCAAGAACTGCTTCCAATGTCTCATGGGATTTCGAGGCAACCTGTATTGAGAAGAGGACCACGAGAAAGCTGCACATATGGTCCAGGCTGTCGGCGGTTGCACGCCTGAAACCTGAGATCTGTAGTAGTGTCGATACTATTACTGATCCTGTCGAGTTATGTGACAACACTAGTGGTATTGCGATTCTTGGTGAAATATGCAATAGAGCCATCTCTATCACTTTTCTCGCTTGAATCTGTAGTTGTGGTTTTGCTATTGCAGGTTTCGACTAACCACTGTGGACACTCCATCCAGAGGTAGCTCAGCACGATCAATAATGATGTGAACTTGTGATGACACCAAGATCTGGTGTGAGTATGAGTACTGGTGGCATCAACATGAGTGTCCAGTGTGTTGACTAACACTTGAGGTGATCCCCAGACCACAGTGGACAACTGCCTTCAGTTCTATCTTAATCTGGACTGCTGATTTGCTAGGAACTGCCTTTGGACATCAGTGAGCAGTGATACAACACATGTGCTACAATGAGAAGTAACCTGTTGATTACTACTATGCTGACTGAAACTAATGTATACTTATGCTGAAGTGATAACTAGCTTATATGGTGTGTAGAGTGGATGGGGATCCACTCGACCACTTGTGGCGAGAAGGTATGGTTATATACATCTTCACAGTGTCACCAGCAACACTGCTCTGGCTCTCTCTCCAGAGAGTACCTTCTTTGCCAAGCACTGTGCAAGAGTCCCTGATGAGGTGCCTCCTCCTCCTCAAGCCCTGCTTGCTTATCATTCCTGTCTGTCCTTCTTGAGCTGTGTGTCGACTCCTTCGACACTGCTCCTCCTCCTCAATACCTGCTTGCCAGTGTCCATAACACAGCTCTTCTTCCTTCGACCAGCAACTGTTTGCCAGGTTTTTACCTTATGGCCCCTGAGTGGTAACCCACTGCATGCTCCTGAGCTTGGTCCCTGTCTTGGTGGCGCTTGATCCTTGTCGCATGCGAGCTTGGTCCTCCTTGCATGGGAATTCGTCATACAATCATCCCTGTCACTGATCTCTGCAGAATCTGCCATATGATCAAGCTTACTGCAGATTCTGGCAGAATTCGTGATATCATTGTTGCTTGTGCAGATCTCAATGAGATCTGTCATAGCACCATTCCTACTACAGATCTCACTGAATTCTGCTACAATTCCCACAATCTGCCTGATCCCTCAATTCCTGTGCTCCCTTCGTATGAACTGATGGGTCTTCCTGCTTCCTGCGCATTCAGGCCCATGACACAGGCTTGTATCATTGTGCATATTTTTGCAAGCCATTATGATCGACCAGATGAGGTGGCAGAGTACCTTAAGGCATCAGAGAATCTATCTGAAGCTGAAGTGCTGGAGACCATGTCAGGGATGGAAGCATATCAGCAGGCTACTGAAGATGTGAGGATACAATGAAGGGAAAACCAGCAGCAATATGAACAGGAACAGGCTGCTGCCATGGAGGGCATGTCTCAGAACTGAGTCCAGAAGTTCAGGCAGGAGAAAGCACTGGATCTTAGGGAGGAGATGCTCACTGCACTCTTTGCTTCTCATGGCCGCCCTTTTGAGGACACAACAGCAGAATCTCAAAGGATGGGAATGACAACATTGGCCTTTGCCAAATGGCAGGAGAGACAAAACTGATGGCATGAGGCTCACAGAAGACTGTGATCAGAACAGGTGTGATGTAAGCTATTTGCTTTAGCTTTTCAATCAAAGGTTTTGGCATTGTTCAGTATAGTGTTCAACAATGTCTGATATGATCACTTTGATCTTGACCTGGTGTAGGGAATCAGAGATTGTTTTTACTGGGCAAGCCAAGTGAAACTCCAAGATGCACATGTCACAGGCCTGTGCAGTTTCTTGGGGCGTCAAAAATTGGGCCCAAACATATTTTCAAAGTATTGTGTTTTCAAAACTCAGAGATAACTGAAACCCCCTAGTGTTTTCAAAAACTAGAGTATTTTCCAAAATGACAGAGCTTACGTAAGTAATGAATATTCAACGCAAGTGAAAACTCAAAAAAAAACTTGAGTTTCCGGAAAATAAAATAAAATAAAATAAAATAAAATAAAATAAACAAACAGAAACCCCCTAATGGAACCTTCGGGACAATCAAGCTCGATTGTTCTTCGATGTAAGAACGAGGGCGTCCATCATGATCTTTGTGCAACGATCTCGATCATCGAAATGAAGCCTTGTTGGCGCTGAAGATGTAGGCAGAATCAGGCTTCCAAGGCAAGGGCAAAGGGCTCTTGTTCGAAAAAGCAGCTTGATGAAGGCTGCAGCCTTTTTGTGTGCGTAAGTGTGCGCGTGTGAGTGTTTCTGTGTGTTTCTGTGTGTTTCTTTCCTGGATCCAAGTAGGCTTTGCGTGGATTTTTACTTAGATCCCCGACCTGACTTTTTCCATCAACGTCAGAGCCAAGGCAGACAGCCGCTTTTACTGTATCAATCAAGCTTTTTCTGGAAGGTTATGAAGAAGGTCAAAGCGTTCAAATACCCTCGATCCACGGGCATCGTGACTGAGCGAATGAGTAAGCGAGGGTCGAGTGTTGATGGTGGCTTGGATATGCAGCAAGAGTCAGCTTTAAATTTCTCTCCCAGGTTTCACCTTTTGGCGCCGCCTCTTTACCACCTTCCCGAAGCTTCGTTCGTCCAAGACTCTCACACACACTACTCTGACACTAATACTCCTGTGTCAGCTTCGCATCGAGGCTGTCCATCCAACAGCTTTCAGAGCAGAGACAGACAGCCCGCCAAACACTGCGGCAACTTACCCACCCTCAACCTTGACCAACACCACCACCACCCACCATCATTACCACCACCATCATCATCACCACCTCCTTCGCAACCGTATCGGATCCTTTGTAGCAACGCGTCTCTGTCAGTGCCTCAGACCCTGATAGTCCCGCTTGCCATCGCCAGGAAGGGATCGCTGTCAGTTGAGGATACTCCACAATGCCACGCAGAGGCAATCTGGGCGGTCACCGCGTAGTGATCGCCTCGCTCTTTCTGCCCGACACACTTCACTTCGTCGAGCCCGAGTTCGAGTCCGCCCTCGCAGAATCACCGCAAGAGTCGACGGCACCACCTTCACCGGACTCTTTACCCCATGATGCACCACTCCCACTGCATGAGCTGTCGTCGAGACTGGCAGCATCCATTTCCATGTCGGCGCAAGACCGCCAAACACGTTCCATGCCCGTTGCCGCAAAGACGCCCATGAATCGTCAGTCTTCGTTGACAGATACAAAGATCAGCATGAGCGAATTGATGTACGAAGCAGCGGCTGTGCCGAAGCTCGACATGCGTGAAGGTCCCATCTCAGGAGCGTCGAGTCCGCTCACACGTTCGAGACGAGGATCCATGTCGGAACATCCGGCCGCTGACATTCCTGTTGCTCCTGCATCGGATCATGGCCGAGCAGCCATGACGCCAGATCTAAATCCTTTGAGCGTCTTCTCTACCTCGCCTCTTCCAGGTCAAACGGCTTCCATCACTGCTGCGCCCAAGAGTCGTCGTTCCAGCTTCAACACCAACACAAGCAGCGGTACTGCGCTTGCACCCGCCGCCAACGTTCCAGAAGGTACCGGAACCAGAACGCCAGGCGCAAGGGCTGGAGGCAAACTCGGCATCACTACACCACTCAGCATCATCTCGGATCTCGCTGCCAGACGTGGTGGACCTATCCCATCACTTGCAACTACCGCTGATAGCGAACGACACCATCCTTTCGGATCCGGCGCTGTCACTCCAATCGCAGGTGCGCAGACTCCTGGGAACGCAAACAGACCTCCTGGGCTCGCTCGCGCCTTCCCTTCTTCCCTCAGCATGACCAAAGCCAACCCTTCTGGCAGCGTCTCTGCTGGTCCTGGTGCGCTCCCCACTCTCAAGAGTCTGGCTGCTGCCAAGCAAGTAAATACAGCCTCTGGTTCCAGAACGCCTAGCGGCTCATCAGGCTTGCATGGCGCCAAGACTGCTAGCGCTGTCTCAAGTGGCTCCATCAACGATCATGGAAGGGGCGCCGCACCTACATCCGCGCCAAACCAAGCTCGCAAAGCTTCCATTCCTACCGCCGAAAAGCCTTCCTCACGCGAGCTTCTCGGTCACGCACGCACACCCAGAGAACACTCCATCTCCTCTTCACTCACCGCTTCCATCAAAGGAAGAGCGCATCATCATGGCGGTGGAGCGCATAGCAGCGGCAACCAAGGTCCACCTGCTGCGCCTTCTTCTGTCTTTAGCCGGAACCATAGCATTCGTTCTGCCCCACGTCGAGGTTCAGGTCGTCGAGCATCTTCCGCAAGCCGCTCGCAGCTTGGCAGACGTACTTCCACCGCATCGCTTGACACGGTTATGGACGATGATGCGGACGCGGCTTTGCCACCCTTCGACTTCGTCAGCAACCCCTCTGCTAATGGTGGTCTCATCAATGCAGTGAGGAGCATCGAGCGCGAACGTCTTCGTGCAGGCAAAGTTTACGTTGGTACACCAGGTCTCTCTACGGAAGGTTGGCTTGGTCCCAGTGAGAAACGCATCCTCGAACAAAAGTACCTCAAAGAGCGATCGTCGATGCCCGTCTGTCTTGCAGACGATGACTTTGACCTTAGCTACAACCGTTTCTGCAAGCAGATCTTGTGGCCCACCTTCCACTACACTTCGCCCACTTCGAAGGGACTCGACAACGAGCACGAAGCCTTCCGTGCCTACTGGGAAGTCAATCGCCGCTTTGCCGATGCTATCGAGGACATCTATCAGGAGGGTGACATTGTTTGGATCAACGACTATCATCTGCTCCTTGTGCCGCAGATGGTGCGCGAGCGACTACCGCATGCCACCATCGGTCTCTTTGTTCACATCGCTTTCCCGTCGTCCGAGATCTTCCGTTGCCTCAGCATGCGCGAGACGCTGCTCAAAGGCATGCTTGGCGCCGACCTGATCGGTTTCCAGACCCACAACTTCTGTCGTCACTTCCGTCAGACTGTCAGTCGCATCCTTCAGCTCGAAGCGACGCCTAAAGGTGTCCAGCTCGAAGGTAGCTTTGTCACCGTAGCGCCCTTCCCTATCGGTATCGACGTGCGTAGTCTCAATGCCAAGCGACAGGATCCGGAAGTCAGCGAGTGGGTCGCACAGTTGCGTCAAAAGTACGCAGGCAAACGCATCATTGTCGGTAGGGACAAGCTCGATTGGATCAAGGGTGTCAGGCAAAAGCTACTCGCCTTCGAAGCATTTTTGGACGAGAACCCGAAGTGGGCCGGCGAAGTCGTGCTCATCCAGGTCGCTCTGGCTACCACCGAGGAGAACGAAGAGATTGGCGAAGCAACCGACGTGGTCTCGCGCATCAACAACAAGTACAGCTCGCTCACCTATCAGCCCGTCGTCTTTCTGCATGTTCAAGACATCACGTTCAGCCAGTATCTGGCGTTGCTGACCGTAGCCGACTGCTTCTTGGCGACGAGTCTGCGTGAAGGTATGAACCTCACCTCGCATGAGTTTGTCGTCTGTCAAGAAGTGAGCCATCGTCCCTTGGTGCTGTCCGAGTTCACGGGCACATACTCTGGCCTTCGAGCCTGCATCGGCATCAACCCTTGGAACACCAAGCAGGTTGCGCACGCCATCCACAAGGCGCTCATCATGGACGAGTCCGAGATGGTGCAACGCTGGACTGACTTGCACCGAGTCGTCGTCACGCAGACGGCGCAGCAGTGGATCACGTCGTTGCTCGGTCACCTCGAGCGTGCACACATGGAGCAAGAACGTCTCGAAAACATGTTTGTGCCCAAACTGGAAGTGGCTCAGCTCGTATCGGAATGGCGAGCTGCTCATTCACGCCTCTTGCTCATCGATCTCGAAGAAACCCTGGTCACTTATGACCCACTTCTGGCTCACGAGCAAGGCGGTTTCCGTCCTCCCGAGTGGCTGTTCACGCTACTCAATGACCTAGCCGCGGATAACAAGAACGTAGTCTACATTCTCAGCGGTATGGGCACCAACGATTTGGATCGACTAGCTTCGCGCATCGACAGCGTAGGCTTTGCCGCTGAGGACGGCTGCTTTGTCAAGCATGCTGGCGAGCACCACTGGAACAGTCTCGTAGCGCCCTTTGACCTTCGTCCGGTGCGCGATATTCTCTCCTACTTCACCGAGCGAACGCCTGGCTCGTACATTGAGGAGCGCAGCGCTTCCATGTGTTGGCGTTTCTGGAACGACAAGCTGGGCGATCGTGATTCACACGAAGCTCAGTGGGCTCGCCGACAGTCGGCTGAGGTGGCCAACCTGATCCACGAACGATTCTCGCACTCTCTGCGCGTGGTGCCATGCCGAACCAATTGTCTCATTCTTCCTCGTCATGCTAGTCGAGTGGCAGCAGTGCAACACATCATCATGCAGATGAGCATCATCGGATCAGTAGCAATGAGCGGCGCCAACGCGAGCAGCCAGCCTTCGTCTGCATCAACGCCGTCGCTCTCGGCGCAAAAGCCCAACGATATCACACAGCGTCTTGCAGATCAGCCGCACCATCCTCCATTGGAAAGCGCATACAAGCAGCCTTCGAACTACTGGACGATGCCAAGCGCACACAACACGCGTGCTTCATCGCCGGTGGTGCATCAATCACCCATGCGAAGCCACGCTGGATCGGTGTCACACCACTTGCCTCACCATTTCCACCAGACACACACTTTCGACTTTGTTCTGGCGCTGGGTCAAGACGAGAAGCTGCTGGCCTACGTCAACACACTCGATCTTTTCGCCCCTGTCACCTGCACTACAGTGGACTTGGAGAAGAATCGCGGCACAGAGGCAGCCTACTTCCTGGCGCAGTCGGAAGTGCAAGAGGCGCTCGAGGAGATGGTAGGCTTCCGTGCTCGCGATTTGAAATGGGCCAACCGCTGATGACGACCTTGAACTCATCATGACTTCACCACTTTTCATTTCGTTTCCCCTTGATCTAGGGAGGATCGATATCTTCGGCGGTGGCTCTTGGTATGCAAACATCGACCGTCACGAGGAACAAGTAGCACCGAATTATGCAAAGTTAATCAAAACACCATTCAGCAATCAATCTGTTTCATGTTTCGAATCGTCTGTCTTTGCTGTCGCCGAAGTCGCTCGTTGAAGAGACGCGGATCTGAACAATGGCATGAGTCAGTGGAACAAGGTGAGGCTGGCTGCAGTGTTAACGTAGCCAGAGTTGGTTTGCTTTCAACGGTGAGTTATAATTGAAGATATCGAGTTAATATACTCTGACTAGGGCCACGATCAGGCTCCTTTATCACAGGTGTATGACTTCTTGAATTCTTATTATTACTATAGAAGAGTGCGACCTTGAGAGCATATATATATACCTTAGCATTCCCTACTAAGCACACCATACTGAAATGAGTCGTGCTCCTCCTTCGATGCCCCTGAGCCGTTGCCATGGCAATGTTTCATACCTTCTAGTTGAAGTTGCATCGGAATGACAAACATGCAAGAGAGCCGAGCCACCGACAGGCCGAGGATTGTGCATGCATGATAATTTCAGTGGCGACCAATCAGGACACATTCAGAGAGAGGAACACCAAGACTAAGGAGGAAAACACTGAGACTCCTCATGACACATCTAGTTTGCAGGGTGTGGATAGCCATTCTCATGAATGAAGCAAAGGTATATATATCCTCACATTACTGTAGTCTTAGTCTATCTGAATCTAAGCATTGTGTAAGCAGTTGCACACCTGAAACCAGGTTGGGTGTTTCCAATTGGTTTTGGTGAGATCTGTCATGGGCCTGGATGCGCAAGAAGTAAGAAGATCCATCAACTCATATGAAGGGAGTGCAGGAATCATGGAATCAGGCAGATCGAGGGGTTTGCAGCAGAGTTCATTGAGAACTGTGGTAGAAACAGTGCTATGACAGATCCCAGCAAGATCCATGTGAACAAGGGCAGTATTACAAATTCCACCAAGATCAGTAGTAGTAGTGATAATGTGGCAGATTCCACAGAGATCAGTGGCAAAGATGATCATACAGCAAAATTCACATGTGAAGGAGGACCAAGTGTTGCCAAGAAGGGGACCGAGCTCAGAAGCATGCAGCTGGTTACCACTCAGGGGGTCACAAGATGAAGACCAGGAGAACTGTCACCAGTGGGAGGAAGAAGAGCTGTGACAAGGACACTGGCAAACAGGTTATGAGGAGGAAGGGCAGTGTCAAGGGAATTGACACCTAGCTCGAAGAAGGATGGATAGGAGGGATGAGGAGGAGGGGCAGTGTTGCAGACGATGCTGCAGGCATGGTATATAACCATGTGTAAGCGGTTGCGCGCCAGAGACTTAGTTTTGGGGTGCTACTGAGTTTGATTGAGTAAGGTCTACTTGATATGTTTCACCTAAATGTAACCAAGCATCACTGCCTGGTAAGTCTTGACTGACCACCTTGAACACTCTGTTCAGAGGTTGCATGGCACAAATGTTGTTCATTGGTGAGTGGGTGATACACCCTCTCCTACAGTACGAGTGTTTGTAGTACTGTTGATAATGCTCTTGGTCATCATCTGGACTGCGATATGCTAATTGCCTACAGAGGATGGGAGTTACTGGACTGCAGGTTGTCAGGGGTCTCGCGCCTGAAACCCAGGTCGGTCTGTCGAGATACTTGGTGACTATCAAACTGTGCAACAGCTATTGTCTCAGTATTGGTCTCGATGAGCTAGTCATTTGGCAACTATCAAGTTGCACGATGACAGCAGGTGGCATTCATTGTATATACTATCGTAGGTTTCAGCTGACCTCTGTGGACACTCCATTCAGGGGTAGCTCGGCATGATCAATATCAATACATAGGTTATGATGACACCAAGGTCTGGTGTGAGTGTTGATGATGATGAGGTTGATGGTGTTGGTGATCAGGTTGGTGAGTGTTGATGATAATGAGGTTGATGGTGTTGGTGATAAGGTTGGTGGTGTCAACACAAGTGTCCAGTGTGTTGACTGATGCTTGAAGTGATCCCTGGACCACAGTGGACTACTGCCTTCAGTTCTATCTTAATCTGGACTGCTGACCTGCTATGGGCTGCCTTTGGATGTCAGGTAGTGGTGATACAACACATGCACTATGATGAGGAGCAACCCTGATAGATTGCTGCTATGCTGACTGAAACTAATATATACTTATGCTGAAGTGATAACTAGTTATGATGTGTGTAGAGTGGATGAGGATCCACTTGACCTTTGATGATGGGAAGTATGGTTATATACCTCTTCACAGCATCTGTCACGAACCGGCCCTACGGTTGGCAATAACGACGAGGGCGAGACCGAGAGGAGAGGCAGAGAAGACTACCAGACTTCGGAAGGAGTAGACGAGAGAGTTGATTGTGAGAGTGACTTACAATCTCTTTTCCTTAAGGGAAAAGAGAGGAGAAGAAGGAAGGAGCAAATTATGAGATCGAAAGTGCAAGACTCGATGCGACGAGTCTAAGACTCTTTTGCAGTGAAATGACGTGTCAATGTTAGATCTAGGAAATTACGCGAGGGGTCATGACCGAGTCATGACAGTATCCCCCCCCTCAAAGAAAACGACGACAGGGGAGGAGTTTAGCAATGAGTAGGAGATGGGCGAGTGGGGTTGGCTGTATGGAAGTCAGCAAGCAGGTCGCTAGCATGGGTGAGATTGGAGGCAGGTTCCCAGGAGTTGTGGTCAGGCCCATATCCGACCCAGCGGACAAGGTAGAAAAGTGGGTCGCGGTAGCGATGATCAACCTTGCTATCGAGGATTTGTTCGACTTCATATTCCAAATCACTTTCGACTTCGACCAGGGGGGGTGGTGGCTGGACCCGATTTGGGATTGTGTTGGCGACATAGGGTTCCAAGCGGTCAACATGGAACACGTTATGGATCTTCATTGATGGGGGAAGCTGGAGGCGGTAGGCATGGGAGGAAATGACCTCGCTGACAGAGAAGGGTCCGAGGCGGCGGTAGTCGAGTTTCTTGGTGGGGCGGAGGGAGCGGATATTATCGGTAGACAGCCAAACTCTGTCGCCAGGCTGGAACTGAGGAGAGGGAAGGCGGTGTTTATCGAACTGTTCAGCTGATCGTCTGTTGGCTTTATCCAGCTCCCCACGAACATACTCATGGAGCTGCTTTAGCTGATCTGCATACGAGCGGGTGGCAGGGAAAGGAGGCAAAGAGGCCGGATCAGTGTTGTCGAAGCTGAAGCGAGGATGGTACCCATAGTTGGCGAAGAATGGGGTGAGTTGAGTTGATGCATGCTCAGCATTGTTGTAAGAAAACTCGGCCAATGGAAGTAGGTCACTCCAATTGGTCTGTAGGTGGTTTGAATACCCACGAAGGTACTGCTCAAGGACCTGGTTAACACGCTCGGTCTGTCCATCCGACTGGGGGTGATAAGCAGAGGAGAAGTGGTTTCTGATGCCAAGGAGAGCAGAGAGGGAGCGCCAAAAGTGGGATGTGAACTCGGAGCCTCGGTCCGACACGATGGAGGTGGGGAGACCATGTTTCGAGTATACATGGCGCAGGAAAAGCTTGGCCAGTTCGGGAGCATCCAATGTGTTGGTAGTCAGAACAAAGGTTGCCATCTTTGTGAGGCGGTCAACCACAACGAGGATGGCAGTGAAGCCAGATGATGGGGGCAGTTGCTCGATGAGATCCATGGATATGGAAGACCATGGGTGAGGGGGAACTGGGAGGGATTTGAGGTGTCCGTAAGGCTTGTGCCGGGCAGCCTTGATGCGCCGACATGTCTCACAGGAATCAACAAAGGTGTGGACGAATTTGGACAAGCCCGGCCAGAAGAAGGACCAGCGAACAAGAGAAAGCGTCTTTCTGCGACCAGGATGCCCAACGGAAGGCGAGTTGTGTCGGTCTTGAATAATTAGGAGTCGGAGGTCATCAACATCAGGTACGCAGGTTGAGTCCCGGTAGGTGAGAAGGTTCCTGGAATCGATCGCAAAACCAGGTGATAGGGATCCAAGGTGGGCTTGCTCCAGGAGCGCTGAGGTCCAGGAGTCGCCGGAAAGGGCCTCCCGGATTTTGTCAGTAATGTCCGACTTTACTGTGAGGATGCCGGTAGCAGCAAGTCGGAGTTGATGAGGTTTGAGGAGGGCCTGAAAGTTGTTTGGGTTGTGCTCCTGCATCAGTGATGGGCCCTTGTCCCTGGGTCGCATGTCGGAACGACGAGTGAGGGCATCCGGAAGACCAGCCTGTACACCAGGGCGGTATTGGATGACAAAGTCAAAATCAGAGAGGAGTTCTGACCAACGAGCTTGCCGACGGTTGAGTTGCTTGGTAGTAGTGAAGTACTCGAGACTGCGATGATCGGTGAGGACCTGCACAGGAAACTTGGCACCCTCAAGGTACTGGCGCCAGTGTTTGAAGGCTGCGACAATGGCAAACATCTCTTTATCAAAGATGGGATAATTGAGTTGTGCCGGATCAAGCTTCTTCAAAAAGAATGCGATGGGGTGTCTAGTGCCTTGATCAAATGACTGTGAAAGGACGGCAGCAACTGCAAAGTCCGATGCATCAGTTTCGACAATGATTGGCCGTGCAGGGTCGAAGTGATGCAAGATGGTGTCGGTGCTGAAGGAAGAGCGAAGCTGTTCAAAGGCATGTTGGGCTGCCTGGTTCCAGGTGAAAGGAGTGCTCTGGGCCTCCTTATGCAACAACTGTGTGAGAGGGTATGCCATTTGGGAATACTGGGGGATGAACTTTCTGTAGAAGTTACAGAAACCTAAGAACACCTGTACATCATGTACTGACGTGGGTACCGGCCAGTTGGTGATGACTTCTGTCTTGCTAGGGTCCATGGAGACACCTTGATCCGAGACCACAAACCCTAGGAACTCGGTTTGCGAAGTGGAGAACTGGCACTTCTCTGCTTTTGCATACAGACCTGCTTGGCAAAGATGTGCCAGGACAGCAGAGACATGTCCTTGATGCTGTTCAAGGGTAGAGGAGTATATCAACAGGTCATCGAGGTAGATGATGAGGGACCTGTCTAACATATCCTTGAATGTGTCGTTCATCAGGTGTTGGAAGGAGGCAGGAGCATTGGTGAGGCCGAAGGGCATGACGTTGTACTGAAAGAGGCCATATCGGGTATGGAAGGCTGTCTTCCATTCGTCACCCTTGGCAATGCGAAGGAGGTTGTAGGCACCGTGCAGATCTATATGGGTGAAGAATCGGGCTTTGCGGAGTCGGTCAAGTAGTTCATCGATGAGGGGTAGTGGGTAACGGTTACGGATGGTGATCCGGTTGAGACCTCGATAGTCGACACAGAGGCGGAGGGAACCATCCTTCTTTTTAACAAAGAGGCTGGGTGAAGCTGCCAGCGAGTCGGATGGAGAAATGAATCCCTTGGCAAGGTTCTCTTCCAGGTACTCCCGGAGGGTCTTGAGCTCATGTTCTGAGAGGCTATAGATGGGTCCGAAGGGTGGAGATTTGCCTTCCTCCAGGGGGATCTGATGATCATATGTGCGATGGGGCGAAAGTTTGTCAGCTTTGACTCTGCTGAACACATCGAGGTACTGGTGGTATTCCTGGGGGATGATATCAGGAAGACCAGCATCGTAAGCGAGAGCCATGGTGGTATCAGAGGATGTTGCGGTGGTATCGGAGGATGTTGTGGTGGTATCAGAGGATGTTGTGGTGGTGGCGAGTAAGTGCTGTGATTGAACGGGGGAGGGGTAGAGAGTACCCGAGGTGAGACAGTCCGATTGGAGGGACTGGTCAAAGGCAATAGCATCGATAACATCAATATCAAGTGATGCAGATGGAAGGGTGGGTGACGGCAACTGAGATGGAGCCATCGGTGAAGGGGTTAGGGGAGGGCTTCGCATGGTGATGTTGCCAGATTGCCAATCTATACTAGGGTTGGCTCCTTTTAACCACGGTAGCCCCAAGATGATGGGACATGGGCCAAGATCGGTGACTTGGAAGGTGATGTCAGCTGGGAAGAGCTCTGCAACGAGGCACGACAGCTGCACTTCCTTACTGATGACGACTTGGGTTTTGCCGTCTGCGAGCAAGAGGGTCTCGGCGAGCAGTTTGGAGGTTAGAGGCAAGGAGTGCAGAGTGGCGAAGCGTGAGTCTATGAAGTTGGTGGTGGCACCGGAGTCGATCATGACGTGATGCACTGAAAGGGAGGGAGGTGACAGAAAGCAGAGGGATGTAGATAGATATTGATTACCAGGGGGTTGTGAATCTACAGGAATGAGTGCTGTCAGTCGGTGCTTAGCGGTTCGGGCTTGTGCTGCTAAGGCGGCTGTTTTTGACAAGCCCGCTATTTTTTTGACTTGATAATAGGACAATCTGTGACAACGTGCTCTGAAGAAGCACAGTAGATGCACAAGTTGTTTGCTTGGCGCCGCTTGTATTCTTCCGGGTCCAGCTTTCCAGCTGTGGTAAGAGGGGCGCGAAGGGCGGAAGGTGAGGAGGGATGGACGGCTGCTGGAGCCATGGGAGGGTTGGAGACAGGCATGGGTGTAGGGTTTGCCGACCGGGTGATCATCCTCTTCTTTTCAGAGATTCGCTCCGCAATACGGTTATCGATCTCGAGGGATCTCTGGATGAGGGTTTCCAGGTCAGTTGGTTTGCCAGAGCGACTAAGGTCATCCTTGACGTTCTCCTTGAGTCCTCGATAAAAGAACCAAGCCATGGCGTCTTCACCCCAATTGAGGGTCATTTGCAGCTGGCGGAATTGGGTGAGGTAGTTGGCTACTGAGGTGGTCTGGGATAGAACCTCGATCTCCCGCTTGGCAGTGGCAATACGATCTGGGTCCCCAAAGACCACACGTAGTTGATTGATGAATAAGGGGTAGTCTGTGAGCCAGGCGGGAGGGTTGACGGCGCTAAGGTGGGGGTAGAACCACTGGTGAGCAACTCCACGCAGGAGTGTGGATAACCAGAGGATCTGGTCGGAGTCGTTGATGAAGCGCCCTGGGTTGAGCCGCAGAAACACATCGACCTGGGCTAGGAATGCCTCCAGGTGGCCTCGCTCGCCAGTGAAGGCCTCTGGTTCCTTGGACTGGAACCCTTGTCGAGTTGCAGCGCTGTCATTGGACGGTTCTTGAGTGTTGCGAGCATTGAGAGCAGCGAGTAAGGAACGAACCTGGTCCTCCAGGGATTCGATGCGTTCGGAATGGTTGGGAGGGGGCATCGTGATAGATGTTGATGGAGGCGAAGAAGGTGAGGATGGTGGAAGAGGAGCAAGATGGCGACGAGGATGGAGACCGAGGCATTGCAAATGCAAAGATCGACAAATGGAGAGTATAGATGAGGAGGATGAAGAGGATGGAACGTCTGTTGACGATCAAGGAGAGAGGTGTCTTGATCGAGATGGTAATGAGGCCAAGGGTAGTGTTGAAGACAAGGGGATGATGATGGTTCGACATATGGATGGATGGATGGATGGATGGATGGATAGAAGGTGATGATGGTAGTGTCGAAGGCTCCTAACGAGGAGAATGGCGGTAGTGATGATGATGCCGATGATGGCTGGTAGAGAAGGAAAAGAGATACTGTCACGAACCGGCCCTACGGTTGGCAATAACGACGAGGGCGAGACCGAGAGGAGAGGCAGAGAAGACTACCAGACTTCGGAAGGAGTAGACGAGAGAGTTGATTGCGAGAGTGACTTACAATCTCTTTTCCTTAAGGGAAAAGAGAGGAGAAGAAGGAAGGAGCAAATTATGAGATCGAAAGTGCAAGACTCAATGCGATGAGTCTAAGACTCTTTTGCAGTGAAATGACGTGTCAATGTTAGATCTAGGAAATTACGCGAGGGGTCATGACCGAGTCATGACAGCATCGCCAGCGACACTGCTCCTGCTCTCTCTCCAGAGAGTACCTTCTTCATCGAGTACTGTACAGGGGCCCCTCTAGCACTGCTCCTCCTCCTTGCTATCCTGCTTGTTTGGCATCCCTGTGCCTCCTGAGTGGTGTCGACTCCTTCGACACTGCTCCTCCTCCTCAGGACCTGCTTGCCAGTTCCCTATACACTGCTCCTTCTCCTTTGGCTGGTGATGGTTCCTTTGACTCTTGTCTCTTGAGCCCCTGAGTGGTAACTGTCTGCATGCTCCTTGAGCTTGGTCCTCTTCGTGGCTGTGCCTGCTCCTTGAGCTTGGTCCTCCTTGTGGCTGTGCCTGGCCCTCCTTGCATATGGGCTCGGTGCTCCTTTGCATGTGAGTCCATAGGAGTCCATGGTCTCCATGGAGACTGCACTATGACCATGCTCTCTACTGGTATCGACTAGATCTCTGATACCTGTGCTCCTTCCATATGAACCAGTGACCCTCCTGCTTCTTGAGCATTCAGGCCCATGACACAGGTGTGAATCACCGCCTACAATAACCGACTGGACCGCTGGTGTCAAGCAACACTGCCTACAGCAAGGGCACTGGACTGCTAGTGTTGAAGAACACTGCCTACAGTTGTCAACTAACGGTGATACAACACACATGTTGAGAGTCATTGCAAGAGCACTGCTATTGCAATGGTATGTAACTGAGTAAGTAGATAGAGTAAGTAGTATAGTATGTAGAGTGGATGAGGATCCACTCATATGCTATGGTAGAATGAGAGTATTTATGCAATCAATTGGTGTTGCCCACAACACCTATCCTGCTCCTCTTGAGGGGCCTTTGTCCCCTGTTTGACACTGTCTTGTCCTGCTGGCATAAATCCCATTGGTACTGCACCCCTACCAATTGCATGGCATAAGGGTTATGCAACACTGCCCTCTTGCCTTCATGCTCTCCTTCTGCCTGATGATGTGTGATGCCCCCTTTCAACACAGCTCCTTCTTGACTTTATCTTGTGAATCCCTTTAGCCACTTGTTGAACCTTGTGACCAAACCCCTTGGTCATGTGGTCACTTCGACACAGCTCCTAGTACTTGCTCATATCAGCCGACTTGTTGAAGCATACTGATCTGACTGATTCTGACCAATCCCTGATGAGATTAATCTGGAACCCAGGGTTCGATCAATCTCGTAATTCATATGCACTGCCAGCCTGATTAATCTCGTTGATCCCTGAAGGTTTGGCACTGATCAATCTGGCACTCCCTTCATATATTGATCTGTTGCACACCCTTCATATACTGCTCTGTAGCGCGACATTCCCATGACTGCCATTGATCAATTTGGCGCACTCTCTTGCACTATCCTTCTGACCCTGTGACACCATGCTCCTCATCGCAACAGGTGAGTGGATTGCCATCCACTCTACACCATATCAACTAGTTATACTTCAAGCATAAGTACATATTAGTTTCAGTCAGCATAGTTGCAATCAAGTAGATTGCCTCTCATTGTAGCACATGTGTCATATCACTGCTCCCTGACATCTGAAGGCAGTTCATAGCAAACCAGTGGTCCAGATTCAAGATAGAACTGAAGGCAGTAGTCCACTGCAGTCCAGGGATCACCTCAAGCAATAAGTTGACACACTGGACACTCATGTTGACACCACCAAGCATTCATACTCACACCACACCTTGGTGTCAGTACAGTTCATATTGTTATTGATCATGCCAAGTGTCATGGGCCTGGATGCTCAAGAAGCAGGAGGGTCACTGGTTCATATGGAAGGAGCACAGGTATCGAAGATCTAGTCGATACCAGTAGAGAGCATGGTCGTAGTGCAGTCTCCATGGAGACCATGGACTCCTATGGACTCACATGCAAAGGAGGGCCAAGCACAGCCACGAGGAGGACCAAGCTCAAGGAGCAGGCACAGCCACGAAGAGGACCAAGCTCAAGGAGCATGCAGATGGTTACCACTCAGGGGCTCGAGAGACAAGAGCCAAAGGAACTGTCACTGATCAAAGGAGAAGGAGCAGTGTCGAAGGAGTCGACACCAGGTCATGAGGAGGAGGAGCAGTGTCAAAGGAGTCGACACCATTCAGGAGGCACAGGGGTGCCAAACAAGCAGCAGGATAGCAAGGAGGAGGAGCAGTGTCGAAGGAGTCGACACAGCTCATGAGGCACAGGGGTGCCAAGCAGGAGAGGCCCCTGAACAGTACTCGATGAAGAAGGTACTCTCTGGAGAGAGAGCAGGAGCAGCATCGCTGGCGATGCTGTGAAGAGGTATATAACCATGCTTTCTCATCATCATAGGTTGAGTGGATCCTCATCCACTCTACTCACCATACAACTAGTCAATACTTTAGAAACACAAGTACTCATTAGTTACAGTCAGCATAGCAGCAATCTATCAAGGTTGCTCCTCATCGTAGTGTGTGTGTTGTATCACCACTACCTGACATCCGTAGGTGCCCCATAGCAGGTTAGCAGTCTGGATATAGATAGAACTGAAGGCAGTAGTCCACTGCGGTCCGGGGATCACTTTAAGCATCAAAGTCAACACACTGGACACTCGTGTTGATGCCACCAACCTTATCACCAACACCATCAACCTCATTATCATCAACACTCACCAACCTTATCACCAATGTCATCAACCTCATCATCATCAACACTCACACCAGACCTTGGTGTCATCATAACCGAAGCATTGATATTGATTGTGCCGAGCTACCCCTGAATGGAGTGTCCACAGAGGTCAGCTGAAACCTACGATAGTATATACAATGAATGCCACCTGCTGTCACTGCACAACTTGATAGTCACCGATACCGAGACAATAGCTGTCACACAGTTTGATAGTCACCGAGTATCTCGACAGACCGACCTGGGTTTCAGGCGCGAGACCCCTGACACCAAGCTACCTCTGGATGGAGTGTCCACAGTGGTCAGTCAAAATCTGCAATAGCACAACCCCAATCACAGATTCAAGCAAGTAAAGTCATAAGGACATCACTATGGCATAACTTGACAAGAATCATAATACTACATATACAATCACATATCTCGACAGGATCTGCAATAGGAGCGGCCTTACTACAGATCTCAGGTTTCAGGTGCATGACCTCTGACAAGATCAATTGAGTAAGATCTACTCGGTATGTTTCGACTAAAAGTAACCAGATGGCTTCATACTGGTGGGTCTTGGCTGACCACCTTGAACACTCTGTTCAGAGGTTGTGTGGCATGTCTGTTATTCTCTGGAGAGAGAGTAATACACTCTCCTTTACAGTATGAGTGTTCATAGTACTGTTGCTAATGCTCTTCAACATCACCTGGACCATGATATGCCTATTGCCTACAGAGGACAGGAGTTACTGGACTGCAGGTGTTGGACACTGCCTACAATAACTGACTGGACTGCAGATGTTGAGCAACACTGCCTACAGTGATGAACTGGACTGCAGGTGTTGAGGAACACTGCCTACAGTTGATGTCCGACAGTGATACAACACACATGTTCGAGATGTCATTGCAAAGCTCTGCTATTGCAATGATATGAGTCAGGTAAAGAGTAGAGTGGATGAGGATCCACTCGTATGTTATGGTGAATTGAGAGTATTTATGTGTTTGCTCGATGTTGCCTGCGACACCTCTCCTGCTCCTTCTGAGGAGGGTTTTCGCCTCCTCCTGACACTACTTTTGTACTGTGTGCTGACTCCATCAATGCTGCTACTCTACTGCCTGGACAGGGTGTTGGTTTGGGTGACACCCCCTCTTGCCTCTATGCTCCACGTTGCCTGTTGATACATGTTGATCTCTCCGACACTGCTCTTCCTCCTTATGGTTAATCCCCAGTCTTCTCGACACAGCTCCCCCTCTCTAACTGGCAACCATCTTCCCCTTCTTATCTTGTGAATCCCTTGGTCGCATGCCAGACCTTATTGTCATGCTCCCTGATCATGTGGTCACCCCTGTGGCTGGCCCTGTGTGATGGTATGCATGTCCCCCCTGAGTGGTAACCATCTGTGTGATACTGAGCTCGGTCCCCTTCCTTGATTGTTTCCCACATGCTCTCTTGTCTTCCCTGCTGGGGAAACTCCTTCTCTGATCCTCCCATTGTTTCAACGTGATGAGCTACCCATTCTACACCAATGGTGCTTTGTCAGTGTGTGCTTGGTGAAACATACTGGGTAGGCTTGTTCTGATCAATCCTAGCAAGATTACTCAAAACTGCAGTTCTTGGTTGAATCCACAAATCATATGCACCACTATCCCAATCAAATCATCAACCCCTGATGCTCGCTTCAGATCATTCTGCGCACACTTCCTGCGCCGACCCTGTGACACA